AGTTACTTATAACCTTACTCACTAAGTCCCATGATCCTCTAAGTAGGGTATACGTTCTTGGCGTCTTGAAGCTTTCGAGCCTGTGGACTTCAATGAACACGAAACCCCTAAATGCTGATGTAGGGCCTGCGGGGTTCTGTGTTGAGTGTCCGAGCTCTTATGCCGAAGCCCTAAACCCTAAACCCTAAACCCTTAACCCCAAGCGCTAAACCCTAAAAGCTCCCATTTGGCCTGCTACCTTGGAGCTTAGAGCTGTGGTTGGTTTGGGTCCCTTAGGTTGCGTAAGATTGGTAGTGTGTGTTCGGATGGTTCCCGAGGTATGGGGATCCCTAAACAGTTTAGGGTTAAGGGTTTAGGGTTTAGGGTTTAGGGTCTCACAAAGTCTAGTTTTATGTGGGTGCTTGGGGTATTGAGTGCTTTCTGAGTTGTGTGGGGCTTTGGGGCGTGGGGGGCTTGGGGTTGGGATTTTGGAGTTGTTTAGGGCTTTGGGGCTAATGGTGTTTGGCTTCAAAGGAATTATCCGGTAAAGACTTTCTCCCATTGCACTGGGGTTGCGGATGTTTGGTGTAGGGGTTGTACCATTGCACAAGTCATCCCAGAAGTCACACCTTGACTGTCCAAGGGTGTTTAAGTTTGGGGGCTTCTTACAGACAGAAGCCGCTGCATAGCTACGGATCATCCGAACGTGTGGGCCCAGCACATGTAGAAAAACTTGCAAAAACTTCCGCAGACTGCACAAAGAATCTCCGGCAAAGCGTGAAGGATTATCGCAACTTGAATGTTGCACTGCCCTACATTGATTCTTCAGTCTCAACGATTATCCATGTTAGTCCTTTACGAACGTTCTACTATGATGCAACCGCCCGAACCCCTCCTTGCGAACGTCAAAAGCTCAACTACTTAGAGGATCATGGGACTTAGAACTAAGTTATAAAGCCAGGTGACTGTACTCATAACCCCAAGTAAGGTACTTATAACCTTACTTACGAAGTCCCATGATCCTCTACATACCCCCCAAACCCATATATAGAACCCTTAATAGTAACCCTTATAGATTCCTTAAAGGAGCCCATTAAAGGAAGCCTACTTATTAAGTCTCATGATCCCTGAAGTATCCCCAAATCTTCCAGTGGTGACACCCCCTGCAAAACCCAAGGAACCAGAGGCCCAAGCCGCCAGAGATGCTCTGACACCCTACTTAGAGGATCATGGGGCTTCGTAACTAGGGTTCCCTTAAAGGGCTCCTTTAAGGGATCTACATTAAGGGCTCTATATATTGGTTCTTGGGGGTTACTTAGAGGACCATGGGGCTTAGTAACTAGGGTCACAAGTACCTTAATTAGGGTTATCAGCAAGTATAAGTATAGCTACCCTACTTATAACCCTGGTTACTAAGTACACTGGGTAACTATTTATAAGGAACCTAGGACTACAGAAAGGGAATAAGGGTACTACTGGGCATCCTACTGCTTGGAGAAACCCGAGTTACTAAGTACACCACCCTTGTCCTTTTAGAAATAATAGACAGAGCCCTATACCTATATCCCTTAGTAGGAATTATTTAAGGTCTACTAGCCGGTCTGTTTATTCTTTTGGGGGAACCATAAAAAAGGACAAGGCTGAAGTACACCACCCCAAACCCCACGATCTCCTCGGCCCGAAACCTCTTATCATAGGCCTTCATAGTTCGAACAGGGGTTTGGGTGGTATATTATACCGCAATTGTAATAAGGAACCCCCAGACTACTGTTGGTAATTATTCCTACTTTAGGAATAAGGTTTGGGGGGTATATTTTACCATAACCATAATGAGGAACCCCCGAAATACTATGGGCAATTTGTTTAGGCCTCTATATTATGATTCCCTTGTAGGATCCGTATCAAGCCCTTCCAAAACCATTAGAAAGCTCTCAGCTAGAACCGTATCAAGCCTGTTAAACAACCAAACAACCCCATATAAAGCCCTGAAGCCCGAATCTCAACACTCACCCCAAACACTAATGGTATAATATCACAATACCACATTATATATATAATATCACATAGTACCACATACTATCACATAATATCATGTAGTCTGGTATGGTATAGTCTAGTATAGTAGACTACGATATGGTATAATCTGAGGCACGGGCTTTGAAGAAGATCAGCGGAGGCCCTGCTATCCAGGCAGCCTGATTGCTGGGTTCTACGATGTCACTGGGGGTCCAAAAGGGGCCTAGGATGCCCAGTAACCTAGGACTACAAAAAGGGAATAAGGGTACTACTGGGCATCCGAGGGGCTTTATCGGGTTTTCGAGAGAGCACAAGAATCTCTATGAGCCTTTGTATGTCTCTGAAAAGAAGGGTTTCAGCTTTTCCACAGAACAGAAGAGTTGCTATGAGGCTTTAACGGACGGGTTTAGGATCGGGCTCTAGGGCTTTAAGCTCAAGGGCTTCGGGCTTTAAGGGTTGAGGGCTTAGGGCCGTGTGCCGGAACTGCGGACGGTTCCGGTCCAGTGAGTGTTTCGGCTTGAGGGTTTGGGCGTCAGGACATGGTAGCCTTCAGGGCTGCAGGGCCCTTGTGGGATCTAGGGCTTCCCGGTGCTATCGGCTGTGGGTATCTGGGGTTTGGGCATTCATGGGTTCAAGGGGCTCTGGAGTTTCATTGTGTTGTCCCAAAACCATGCAACAAACCCTCAAATTAAATGGATGGATCCTAATGCATACTCTTCTACGGCCCTTACGCAAACCGCCATTCTCACTGCAAGCTTGTAGGACCATGTACATGCATCAAACTGAATAGAGTTTACTTCTGGTTTAGAGTGTTTCGAGTCTCGGGGAACATCCTAAACCTTGAAGTCCTAGAGATCCCTTTACAGGGAACCCTTATTATAGATCCCTTAAAGGAACCCTAACAGCGGTAGCCGAAGGAACCCTCTGCCCGAAGCAGAGCCTCCCTAAGCCCCGAACGCACGAAGAAGGCCCTGCGGGGCGCTCGAAATCTGGAGACACACATCCTCCTTTATAGGGCCCCAAAAAGGCACATAAGCAAAAATTAGGATAGGCTATAAAGGGTTTAGGGTTAAGGGAGATTTGGGTGGTTGTCAAAATTTTGGTCCCTTTTTGGGTCGCTGTTATAATACGGCACCTATTATTTAGGGTACCCAAAAAGGGACCATAATTTTTGACAACTACCCATCTGGAGACACATCCTCCTTTAGAACCCCTGAACAACAAACTCTGCACGCCAACACTGTCACCCTGAATATCAATCGTTTTACAGTAAACTGAACCTCAAACCCTACTCCTCAAGCCCTAAACCCTAAACCCCTAAACCCTTAAACACTAAACCGCTTGTTTCTCGGATTTGGGAGTAGGGTAAAAGCAACGCAGCCTTTTTGAATTTCCCAAAACAAAACCGCAGAACAGCCGGGTCCCCCCGACTTTGGCGAGCGACCGCCATGGTATGCTCATGGCGGGGAACCGGGGTTAGAGCTACAAAAGCGAGTATGCTGAATACAGGTATATGTATATGTCTATGTGTATGTGCATATATACCAGAAAGGCGTATATGTATATGTATATGCAACGTGTATGCATATGTATATGTTCATACATACATGTACATTTGCTTTATGGTTTATAACATTGCGTAAATGTCTATCCTCTGTGCAACTTCACCTTCCTGTGTGGGTGTGTGTGTGTGTGTGCCTATAAACTTGCGTACTGCAGGAGCTATACCGGTTTCTTCCCTCGTTATACAGGATACGTCGAAGTCTTGGTTTCTTGCTGCCTTATCTCTCGAACAATCCTTAACCCCTTTCGGGTGTAGGGTAACTGCCCCAGAAGCTGACAATGCAGAAGACACACCTGGCCCAAAACCATGTTTCAGGTAGAGATATGACCTCACCCGAGGCCCTAAGCCTCTTTTTAAGCTAGACCTGTAGGCTCTATGGAGGTCTTGCGGCTGGCCGATGACTTCGTTCTAGGATCCTTGACGAATATGCTACGGTTTGTGGTCGCTTTGCATGCTGAACGCTGCTCCAGTGTAGGAACCTGCTGGCGGAACCCTGACCTTAGAACTGAGAACCCCGCAATATTAGGATTAAAACAAATAGAGCAAAACCGTAACCCCCACATCAGGACTCATACAAAGACTCAGGGTAATCAGCTGCCCATATTACCCTGTTTTCTAGAATGTACCCCTAGACCCTACTCTTATTATCACGGCCCCTATCAGCCTCCTTTATTGCTGGTTTCATTGCAGCCGACGAATTCGAAGCCCTACAGCAGGATTCAGGACTCAGGGATCTAGGGTTTAGGGTCTAGAAACCCTGCATAGGTGCACGCATGGGAGGCATCTCCGCCTTGAGAATACGAACTTACGTCCGGCTGCAAATAACACGATTTCCTAGCTCTGCCCGCAACCAGCAACTGAAAGTTGAATCTGAGGGATATGTCAATAATCCATGGATGCGGCCCGGCACCTACTCTGCTTTCAGAAAGCGGAACGCACGGACAGTTGAAACGATCATTGGCTCTAGCATGGTGCGTTGGCTCTTCTTGGGCTTGTGCAAAGTCCTTCAAGCATTCACACTTAAAGGCTCATGGGACTTAGTAAGTAAGGTTATAATTAGGCTATAATTAGTATAACCCCACTTGGGGAACTTATAACTCCAGCTATGACCTATTTACTACGTCCCATGATCCTTTAAGCAACCCTGCTCCAACATCGATACAAGCCACTTGCTTCGGTTTCGACTTCAAGTTCATGCCTAACAACCGAGATTGAATTCACATGGGTGGTTGTCAAAATTACGGTCCCTTTTTGGGGGGTCCGAAACCCTCAAACCCTGAAACCCTACATTTAAAACAAAATCCTAAACCCACACCCTTGACACCCAAACCCTACACCCTGAAACCCCAAAAAACCCAACACCGAAAACCACACCCAAAACCTTGAAATGCGGAAAGACGACTGTCTCTTTCTCTCTGCAAAGGGAGCTGCGCCCGAGAGCTCAAAGGTCGTCCTGCGATGTCCTGTCTGGGAGATCCGTTAGGGCCAGGGTTGCTTGATGGGATCTGTGAGGATCAGGGATATGGTGCTTCGGCTTCAAGTCTGCACCGCAGATGCTCAGGGTGTGGGGTGTTTCGAATTTTGGATTGGCAGCAGCAGCACTGGCGGCAGTGCGCCCAGCCTGTGCAACTAGCGCAAAAACTGCTATTTTTCCCTAAACCCTAAACCCCTAGTCCCTGACCCCTCACTCCGAATCCCGGGGCGTCAAGTTTAAGGATTTAGGAGTTTGAGGCCTAGGGCCAGGGGCAATCCGATGCTAAGATTGCGGGGCTGAGCGCACGATGAGTTCTATCTTAGATGGGAAACCTTCACAAAATCTAACACCTCACAGCTCTGAGGCACGGAGTCCCCGACACTTAAACCGCACTCCCTCAAGCCTAAAGCCCAAACCCTAAACCTGAACCCCCAACCCTAAAGGGGAGTACCTTCTTTTGGAGTCCTTATAATAAGGATCCTACTAATTAGGGTACTATATTAGGGTCCCCTATTCTCGGAAACTCCCAAATCTTAAACCCAGAACACTAAACTGTCCTGCTGTTGATGGACAAAATCCTGCATGACCCTAAGGACTCTAAACTATGGGAACTATGGTAAATTCCTTATAATGGGTAATGCAGGATTTTGTCCATCAGCAGTATTTCCATAAACCACACCCCGGAAACCACCCGAGCCGAAGCTTCACAGTTTCGGTGGCCCTCAGAAGAAGGATCCCAATCTTTCGGGAAAACCCGAACACCCGAATAAAGGTACCAAAACCCAAGTAAACATACCGAAACCCTCACAAAGATACCGAACAACTCACAAAGAGACCAAATAATACGTCACCAAAATACCAAAAACCCTCAGAAAGATGCCAAAATAGTGCCCCTTTCTAAACCCCTTACAGTAATCCTTGTAGGAACCCCAGAAAACCCTTGAAGTTGAGGCTTCCTTTCTTGAGGCCCGCGCGGCTCGGAGGTGGCTCCGTCAGCCAATGCCTGGCATCTGGCAATTAACCCTAAACCCTAAACCCTAAACCGAGTTTCAAGGTTGAGGCTCTCGGGCTTAGGGATTTCAAGGGTTTGGCATGCAGCCCAAACTCCTCAATTGGGTGTCAGGGTCTTGGCACTGTCCCGAGCATTTGTTTATTGAATGCCTGTTTCCATCATTGCCCTTTTGCACCGAACCAGAACCACAAGGTTTAGATCCACAGGGCTTTTTCGACAGAGTTGGCTTCTAAAGACGTTTACAGACTTTTAAAAACTTTCAAATGCAAGAAAAAACATTCTAAAAACTTTTAGAAGACTTTAAAAGACTTTTAGAAACTTTTAGAAGACTTTTGCAAACTTTAAAAGACTTTTCAAAACTTTAAAAGGCTTTTAAAATATTGAAAAGACTTTTAAAAACATTAAAATACATTTAAAAGCTTTAAAAAGACTTTAAAAGACTTTTAAACGCTTTTAAAAGCTTTTACAAACTTTAAAAAGAATTTGAAAGACTTTTAAAGACTTTAAACAACTTTTAAAATTTTTTAAAAACTTTAAAACACAAAAAAAAAAACTACATTTTTTAATGTTTTTTCCGAGAAGACGAGGATGAAGAAGACCTGGCACAGGGTTTACAGTTTCAGGGTCTTTAGGGTTTGGGGTTAGAAGGCAGAGTGCCATAGTATTAGGGGTTTGAGGGTAATGAAAGGGTTAGGGTTAGAGTTTCGGGGTCTTTATTATATTTAGGGTTTGGGGTTAGAAGGCAGAGTGCCATAGTATTAGGGGTTTGAGGGTAATGAAAGGGTCAGGGTTAGAGTTTCAGGGTCTTTATTATATTTAGGGTTTGGGGTTAGAAGGCAGAGTGCCATAGTGTTAGGGTTTGAGGGTAATGAAAGGGTTAGGGTTAGAGTTTCAGGGTGTTTAGTATTTAGGGTTTGGGGTTAGAAGGCAGAGTGCCATAGTATTAGGGGTTTGAGGGTACTGAAAGGGTTAGGGTTAGAGTTTCAGGGTCTTTAGTATATTTAGGGTTTGGGGTTAGAAGGCAGAGTGCCATAGTATTAGGGGTTTGAGGGTAATGAAAGGGTTAGGGTTAGAGTTTCAGGGTCTTTATTATATTTAGGGTTTGGGGTTAGAAGGCAGAGTGCCATAGTGTTAGGGTTTGAGGGTAATGAAAGGGTTAGGGTTAGAGTTTCAGGGTCTTTAGTATTTAGGGTTTGGGGTTAGAAGGCAGAGTGCCATAGTATTAGGGGTTTGAGGGTAATGAAAGGGTTAGGGTTAGAGTTTCAGGGTCTTTAGTATATTTAGGGTTTGGGGTTAGAAGGCAGAGTGCCATAGTATTAGGGGTTTGAGGGTAATGAAAGGGTTAGGGTTAGAGTTTCAGGGTCTTTAGTATATTAGGGTTTGGGGTTAGGAGGCAGAGTGCCATAGTGTTAGGGTTTGAGGGTAATGAAAGGGTTAGGGTTAGAGTTCAGGGTCTTTAGTATTTAGGGTTTGGGGTTAGAAGGCAGAGTGCCATAGTATTAGGGTTTGAGGGTAATGAAAGGGTTAGGGTTTTCAGGGTCTTTAGTATATTTAGGGTTTGGGGTTAGAAGGCAGAGTGCCATAGTATTAGGGGTTTGAGGGTAATGAAAGGGTTAGGGTTAGAGTTTCAGGGTCTTTAGTATATTTAGGGTTTGGGGTTAGGAGGCAGAGTGCCATAGTGTTAGGGTTTGAGGGTAATGAAAGGGTTAGGGTTAGAGTTTCAGGGTCTTTAGTATTTAGGGTTTGGGGCTAGAAGGCAGAGTGCCATAGTTTTAGGGTTTGATAGTATTAGGGATGCACAAATCGCGTGAAGTGGCTACGAACTGCTGGATGTTGCGCTTTTCTGCGTTGACCACACTGTCAAGCGAATCACGTGCAGGCGAAGCAGGGTACAGCTGGGTGACGCGACAACGTCTGGCACTCTGCCTTCCCAGCTGCTGGCACTCTGCCTTCCCGCCTCAAGATCCATTAATTATTGCCATTTGGAATTCATCCCAACTTTGCACGAAGCTGGTCGGTCAAAGGTATTGCTCCAGCATCAAGGTCAGGAAGTTCCCCCGGACCACCGAGACGGATGGCAACAAGTGAGAGGGGTTTCATCTGAAGGACAAACTGCCGTTGTTGTTCATCTTCGTCGTTCCAAACATAAACAAAATCACAAACGAGAGAAACGCGCGGCAACTCCAGCGGTTCTTCTCCTTCACCCACCTGATAACACTTCGGGAAGGGGCCTTCGTACCGTCGAAGAAGCCTGAGGCCTCCTGTAATGCGGGAGCCAATACGTGGCCAGTAACGCAGGTAGCGAACCATGATTTCCCAAGGCACGTCGTCATAAACTTCATTCCATCTCTCAGCTGGTTTCCACTGGTCAGGCGCTTTGGCCAATTTTTCGCAAGCGGTTTTGATCAAGATTGGGGAGAGCTCGCCTCTGAAGAAACACTCTCCTCGTTCGATCGGGGCGAAATGCATTGCTCTGGACGGCTACTGTTCAGTCACAAGCACGCACGGCTTCAAACCACATGTGCTAGTTTGTGCGGCTTCCGGGTTGTGGCACTCGAAATGATTGTCCATGTGCTTGCACGTGACAAATTCCACATGTGTGAAAATGCGAACATGCTTTCGCAATCCGTCTTCCCCAAGCAGAAACACACAGTCTCTCGGACGCATTCCAATCTAGCAGGACCCGCTGCCATCAATGCAAGCACACAGACAGACACACAACTTTTCTTTGCAGCGCAGGATGAATCCTCTAGTTGTTGCCAGGCCTCCTGGTCGGGCCACAACAGGGCCTATGGTCAATGACGTGTTGTCTGGCCTGCGCTTCTGTCATCTTGGAAGCCACACGTCCCCAGTGATAGGGTACGAGGTGGCTCCACTCGCCTTCAATGCCAGACACACATGGGTTCATGTAATGTGACACAACACACAGCAGATCAGGCAACCACATCGAAGCTATAACAAATGTTCCGAATCTTTCCAAGAGACCGCCGTCTGTCACACGAACTCGGAGAAACCATTTTGCTTTGTCAGTGCCACCAGGATTCGGGTCGTACTTCATCTCACCAGCGATCTTGGGACACTCCGGGCATTGAACAGGTGTCCATACCCCTTGGTAGTCAACACGGTTCGGCCGCCGCTGATGTTGGGGGCCACGGACTGCAACCTCCCGTGGCTCGAGTGCTGGGATAGGCACTGCAGGCACCTCCGGCATCTCAGCAGGAGGGGCTGGCACTCTGCCTTCCTCGGGCTCCACGTGATCATCAGGCTCTGGGACAGGGATTGCAGCAGGCACCTCCGGCATCTCAGCAGGAGGGGCTGGCACTCTGCCTTCCTCGGGCTCCACGTGATCATCAGGCTCTGGGACAGGGATTGCAGCAGGCACCTCCGGCATCTCAGCAGGAGGGGCTGGCACTCTGCCTTCCGCGGCCTCCACGTGATTATCAGGCTCCGGCTCCACCGGCACCTCAGCAGGAGGTGCTGGCACTCTGCCTTCTGCTCCCTCTTGACCACTTTCATCAGGAGGCGCGGGTTGCTTCCTGGGCAACATACGTGGGCGACAAATCTTTCTCTTGGCTTTCCGTTTGGCCTGTGGCTTGGCCTTTGCTTTGGTCTTTGCTTTGGCCTTGCCCTTTGCCTTGGCCTTTGCTTGCTGCGTCTTGATGGCCTGCCAGGTTTGATGCACCCTTTTGATTCTGCGTTTTCTGACTGCGTCTGAGACCATTTTAAATTCCTGTTTGTCCTCAGCAAGCAGGTCGTCAAGAACCAGCTCATCAACAAAGTCCCCCATGATAATGTCATCCTCATCCTCATCCTCTGTTGAATCTTTGGCTGTCGAATACATAGCCTCAATTTTGCGCATGAAATCCTCATCTTCCGGAAGGTGATGAGAAGCGATCAGGCTCATGAGCTTTGGACGGCGCATTCGTTGCAGCTCCTTTCGCTTTTTTTCGTCTACGTTTCCAGTCTGGGAGATCACATGCTCGGCGAGATTCTGGCAGTCTGCGAGAGTCCGACATGCTTGTGACATTTCCCTCAGTCGAGTCAGCAAAAACAAGCACAGCAAAACTTATATAAGTTTATTGTACTATTTACTGTATGGGTCGACAGTTGACAGAATCCTAAATGAAAACATGTCACTTGGGATGCTGCAACATATAGGATAGAAGTGACACTGAGCTTGTAGCACAACGACGGAGGCAAATGAAGCCATTCCAGAAGACTGCCTCTGTTTCGATGACTTCCCAATACTGGGGCTCATACAAATGAATCCAGCAGGCCTTGACGCTGGAACCATCCGGGCACTCTGCCTTCAAAACAAAATATATCTCTCCTGTCGACTGGTCCTCATGCTGGACCACTGGCCACATGAGAGCAGCCCAGGTTTTTGCCCCAAGAGAGAGATAGCATGTCAAATCCAAGACATGGTTCAAGATCTTCAAAGGGGCTGCAAGGCTGCTAAACTTCCCAGCACGCAAGGGAACATGCTGAGATGCCAGTCTTGCATCATTGTAGTGAATTAGCCATGACCACGCAGCTGATGCTCGTTCGAGTGTCTCTTCTGACAGGGTGTTCCATGTCTTGTCGCGGACAATCTCGGTATACTGTGACGGCAGCTTGTGGACACATCCTCTGAAGCACAACTTTTGGCGCTTCCTGTCCACATTCCAAAACTCCCTTTCAAAATATTCCCGTTTGACTTTTGCCGGATGCCTGATTGAACGGCTTTCAAAGACGTTTGAATTCTCGATCACAGTTTGAATCGTGGAGTATGTTTGCTTGCGGGTTTTGTTCAACAAAGAATCATTACGAATCTTGTTGTGCACATCTTCCACAATCTTGTTGTCTGGCAGCGTCTGCACCAGAACACTCAGCAGGTGGGTTGCAGGGCATGCTGGTACCGATATTGTTACAGTCCTTTGAGCTGGCACTCTGCCCTCTTGCCCGTCTAACAAAATGTCACCAACTCCGGCACCGTCATCTGCTTCTTCAGG